ATGTAGAATTTAAAAGAATAAAGTGACATGGGTATTTATCAAATTGAGATAATATCAATGTGACACCTGAAATACCACCCACAACCACAATTGCACCTGAAGTACCAACGGAAGAAACTCCAATCGAAGCACCCGAAAGTGTACTTGTCAACGATTCACAACATATAGGAAACTCTGAGAATCCAATGAATTTTCAACCAGATCAAAAATGGCTCAGAAATCACCCACATGAGTTAGTCATTGGAAATTCGAGAGACGGAGTTAGAACATGATCATCTACAAGGGATGCAATGTTCTCATATTTTCTATCGCAATTGGAACCAAAGAAATTGACGAAGCTTTAGCCGATCCAAGCTGGATAGATGGAATGCAAGAGGAATTAGATCAATTCAAACGCAGCGACCTATGGGAACTTGTTCCAAAATCAACACACCAAAATGTAATTGGTACTAAATGAGTCTTTAGGAACAAAGCAAATGAAGACGGCGTCATTGTTAGGAATAAAGCGAGATTAGTCGCAAAGGGGTATTCACAAGAAGAAGGCATTGATTTTGATAAGACATTTGCCCCCGTCGCACGACTCAAAGCAATCGGAATATTCCTAGCATATGCAACCTACAAGAATTTCACCATATATCAAATGAACGTAAAGAGTGTGTTTCTCAATGGGTTACTTGAAAAAGAAGTATACGTCGAGAAACTACCCAGTTTTGAGATAAAAGGCGTTGGTGATCAAGTCTACAAATTAAAGAAGGCATTGTATGGGTTAAAACAAGCTCCGTGAGCTTGGTACGACACCTTGTCAATGTTCTTAATTAGTTGTGGATTCACCAAGGGTCTAGTCGATAAAACTCTTTCGAATTCAAGAAAATAATCACATTTTATTCGTACAAATTTATGTTAATGATATTATCTTTGGAAGTACTAATAAATCTTTGTGTGAGATATTTTATAAACTCATACAGAACAAGTTCGAGATGAGTATGATGGAAGAATTAAATTACTTTTTGGGACTACAAATCAAGCAACTTGATGAAGGAATTTTCATAAATCAAGCTAAGTATACAAGAGATCTTATCAAGAAATTTAGCTTAGATGAAAAATCTTCAGTTAAAATTTCCATGAGCGCATCACAAAAATTGGACAAAGATGATGAAGGAAAAGATGTCGACCAAACGATGTATCAGAGGATGATTGGATCGTTACTATACTTAACCGCAAGCAGACCGGATATATCTTACTCAGTTGGCCTATGTGCAAGATTTCAATCGAAGCCCAAAGAAATTCATCTGATTGCAACCAAGAAGATATTTTGATATCTAAAAGGAACAATTAATGTGGAATTATGGTATCCCAAAGAAGGAGAATTTACACTAACCGATTATTCAGATTAGGGGTTGGAATATGCCAGGCCCCTTGTAGGGGCCTATGTCTTGGCCTAATTAAAGCCTAGTTAGACCTAGCTCGTTTAGTAAAAAGGCCAGGCTTGAGCCAATTTCAAAGCCTATTAAACTAAACAGGTCAGCCCTATATATAACAGGCTCGGCCTTCAGGCCTACAGGCCTGGCATATATATATATATATATATATTCTATTTTATACCTAATATTTGTATATTTACATTTTACAATATAACTCCAAGTATATATTATTTAGATATACTAAAATTTTGTATACTTATGTAATTATGTGTTAGTTTTGTACTAGGTACATTTCTTATATTATTTATATGGTTTGTACTAGGTACATTTCTTATATTATTTATATGGATTAATATTTGATGCATCGTCGGTGTATAGATACTATACACCGGCGGTGAATGAGGGAATGACACATCATTAAAAATTAAATTCAAATTTAATCAGGTTTTTTTTGCAAAATATCTAACACTTTTATTTTTTTAGGCAACTCTTTTATTTCAAATTAACATAATATATCTACTTTCCAAAATATATTTATTACTTAATTATTAATAATGATAACAAATTCAAAAATCTGTAAAAGAATTAGACATTCATTACTACAGATTTTAAGACTCAAAACCCATAAATCAATTTACAAACTCAACATTTCCACTTTATATCAAAAAGTATAGTTTTCTAGAGTTTACAAATTACAACAAAAAAAAATATAAAAACAAAAAACTTATTAAAAATCAATAGCTTACAAAATAATTTCAACAATAAAAGAAATAGGTATAAAAAACAACTTACCGAAGAGAACTCTTTATTAATGGAATACTAATCAAGATTCTGACAGAGAGAAAAGATTAACAGGTTGAATTCTTCTAACAAAGAAAATTTGGATTTTGATGAATACATATTCATTCAAGATGTTGCAATTGTTTCTAATAGTGACCAAGGTTGTAATTTAAATTTAGGAGTTTAGGGTTTAAATAGATTTAGGAGTTAAAATAGATATAGAAAATTAGATGATTTTTGTTAAGTAAAATTAAAGAATTCTTAATTATAAATATATAATAATTTAGAAATTTATTTTTAAATATAAATTAGAATTATTAATTATAATATAATAGTTTTTTTTTTTTTTTTGAATGCTACTAGCTCTATTACATTGTAGTATGTGTTCATATACTTTCTCAACCTACTGAAACACAAAGAGCCAATAACGCCTCCACTGAGACTCGAACTTACAACCTTCCAAATGGAAGTCCAACCCGGATACCATTAGACCACATAGTCCTGGTTATAATATAATAGTTTAATTCATTGTTAACTTGAATTGTTTTACGCTTTAGAATCTGTTTTTTTAAAACTAAAAATTAAAGATATATATAACCCTAAAAAGATTCTAAAACCTGTAGTAATGAATGTCTAATTCTTTTACAGGTTTTTGAATTTGTTATCATTATTAATAATTATTAGATAATTAGATATGTATATATATATATATATATATATATATATAATAATTAATTAATTAATATATTTAGAAAAGTAGATATATTATGTTAATTTGAAATAAAAGAGTTTCTTAAAAAATTAAAGTGTTAGATATTTTGTAAAAAAAGACCAAATTAAAATTAAATTTAAATTTTAATGATGTATCATTCCCTCATTCACCGCCGGTGTATAGCATCTATACACCTACACCGCGGTGCATCAAATATTAATCCTACTTATATATATATACTAAAGTTTTTAAACAGAATTTTAAAAAGGCTTCAGACCAGGCCAGGCTAATTGCAGGCTCAGGCTTGAACCTAACAAAAAGCCTACATATAGGCTCAGGCCCAGGCCCAGGCTTTAGATTTTCGTAATAGGCCCATGCCTGAGTGAGACAACAAGAGCAAAGCAATATTAGAAATTAACCAAAAAGGGAGAAATAAAGTTTCATAAAAAAAATATCCAAGTCTAAGTGAGAGAGAAATATTTTATTTTTTTATAATCTTCTCTACTGATTGTTAAAAAAGGGCAGAGTAACTAGATAAAATAAAAAACTCTAGTTGAGTGTAACTTTGTACATAAAACAGTTTTATATATGTGTGTGTGTGTATATATATATATATATATATATATATATATATATATATATATATATACTACAAAGGTAAATGAGTTTTTGTTGTACGTTCAACATACTATTGGTATGTTACCTAATGATTTCCTTGTGAAATTATTATTAAATTATTATTATTTTATACTTGTTTTAATTTGCTCAGTTCCTGGTTCAGTGACAGTTTTTATATATTATTCCTATTTAGGCATATTTTTGACTTTAAATTTTTCTCCTTAAAAGTTGTTATTCGTGTTCTTATATACACAGGCAGAATCTGCAAAAATGTCACAAGGTGGCAGACTAGCTTGAGTTTTTGCAATATTGTATGAGGAGCTAATCAGTAATATGTCTTCTGGGCACATGCAATGCAGATAGTAGTAATATAATGGTTGTTCTTCAAAACTATCACACCAGGGGATGAAGAATAGTAGTGATCGATTAATTAAAGAAAAATATAGCATTTTCCATATCTTTCTTATTTTATTAATAAGTATTAACTCAAACTACTAATCTCACCCACTTAATCTTCGGAACATCCTATGCATGCAATACATGAAATTCACTATCTAATCACACTTTTAATTTTCAAGAATGAATGGTGTTCTTAAAAAGCATATGTTGCATAGATGCTTTGGGTGCAATTGAATTTCTCCTCTTGTAAGTGAGAATTTAATCACACTTTTAATTTTCAAGAATGAATGGTGTTCTTAAAAAGCATATGTTACATAGATGCTTTGGGTGCAATTGAATTTCTCCTCTTGTAAGTGAGAATTTTGGATGCTTTTTTATGAAGAGTTTGGTAAATAATTTTTAACTGATTAAGTTATTGAGTTTGACTAATTAATTAAAAAATTAACTAGAAAAAATGATTTTCTCAAAAAATTGATCAGAAAATGTCACTATTAAAAATTATGAAATTTCCGACCACCTAAAACTGATCTTAAATCAAGTTGAAATCAAAAAATGGTCAAAAATACCAACAAAAGTTTTTCCGGACGACCACCTAAAACTGATCTTAAATCAAGTTGAAAGCAAAAAATGATCAAAAATACCAACAAAAGTTTTTCTAGATACCAAAAATGATCGGAACAAAACTTTCGATTTGATTTAAGATCATTTTCAGGTGGTCGGAAATTCCATAATTTCCAGTAGTGTGGTTTGAACAACTTTTTAAATTTTAAAATTTTAAAACAATAAATTATTGTAAAAACCTAATTAATCAAACAATTATTTTGATTATTTAACAAGTCAAACAACTAATAGTGATCAAATAAATCAAAATCGACTGATAAGTTAACTATAAACGACTGATAAATTAACTATAAACAAGGTCTATTTAAATTTTATTTTTCTATAGAAATTGGAAGGAGAAATGTACATTCCTATAAAATTGTAGACAGAAAATACTACATCTACTTCCAAATTATATTCCCCTTTCACCGTCACCAAACGGTTTGATTTATTTTTATTGAATAAAAAAATAAATGAACGATCCACCCCTTTTTATTTCTCGTTGTAGACATATATTGCTTATTAATTATTCATTCTCAACGTGATATTATCCTGTGTACAGTACATCTAAACTCTATAAATGAACACTAGACACCAACCCTACGAACACTAGGAACACTGCGGATGAAAGTGTTAAACAAAGATTCTTGGTGGAGCAGTAGAGGAGTTTACAGGCTTATTATTGATGCAATCCACCTCTCTAAGGACTGTTTGGATCCCAACTCCCCCTGCGTTCGCCAGGGGATGAATACCATTGTCCAACCCCCTTATGTACGCCCTTTTCTCCTTCTCCTCCGCAAAGGATATCTTGTAACGCTTCTCAACATCTGCGTACGTGCACAAATATTATATAATTCCCTTTTCAATGTCCTCCCATCCAATCCTCCTTTTATTAGGAAGAAAGGAAAATGATGATCAAATAAACCCTTAAATTTAATTAGGCTTTTAAATATTAAAAACTTAACCGCAATTGAGTTGTTTTTTTTTTTTTTTTTTTTTAAATTATATGGTACTTTATTAGAAATAAAGCCAAAATAATGTCTGGTGGGTAAACGTCTCAATACATAACAGCAGGCTGCTGGTATGCCCAAGTAGCTAAAACATGAGCTAAATAATTGTCTAATATAATAATATAACTAACTGAACTAGACTGATATAAAGGGCTTTTTAATTTTAAAAACCTAACCGCAATTAAGTTGTTATTAAAGGTTTAAAACTCGATTTAAAAATATGATTAGTAAAAATCAGAGACTACCTAAAGAGGTTAATGGTTACTAAAAATTAGAGATTACCTAAAGAGGTTACCTAAAATTCTAATTGTTACTAAAATTAGAGATTACCTAAAATTCTAAATCGATTAAACTGGTTGTAACCTAAAAATATAAAAAGACAAATATGCCCTTACTAAAAATAAGAAAAGTCATTAATGACTAAAAGTGTTCAAAAAATAATAGTCTAAAATTTAAATGGCAAAAACGATAGGCTAGAACTAAATTGGTCAAAGTACCAACGAAGTCCCTGTACTATAGCATTTTGTTCAATTTAATCCCTATACCTTTTTTTTTTCAATCGAATCCCTGTACTTTAAAAAGTAATACAATTAAGGACAATAGTTAACGGTGCTAATATTACTATTAACTTAGCTTCACCACTTTTTAAAGTAGAGGGACTAAATTGAACAGAATAAAAATATAAGGACTAAATTGAACAAAACACTATGATACAGGGACTTCATAGGTAATTTGACCAACTAAATTTAAAATGATCATCAAAGAGAATGAACCTCTAGTGGAATTAACTCTATTATATATATTTATGGAATCTTTAAGCTTATATTAGGAGGTTACCTTGAGCAAGGGTGTCATAGAGTTGACCATCTCTGGTGAGTGCCATCATGATCTGAGGAATACCCAGGGGGAGGTTATCGCCGCGATCCACCTGCCAAAAGTGTATAACCTTACCGTATGTTTTGCACACTAACTCCATGTCCTTGCGCTGGATGGGACCGGGCATGCCCGGCATGAACAGCACCCCGCTCTTCACCTCGTACTCGTGCGAGTGCCACAGCTTCTTCTCGCCGTCCGGGAGGGTCAAGAACAGCGCCTCCGTGATGATGTATTCTAGCCCGATGAGGCGGGCGTCGGCGCCCGGGCTGTCGTAGATCAGGCACTGCCGGAATTCCTCGTTTTGGTGGCCGCAGAAGTGGTGCGCCTCCACCTGCCGCGTCATGTCGTGGCCGTAGAAATGAAACCTGCAGATCACAATATACATTATTGTTAGGATCACGCTCTAAAAAGCTAGACCGTCATCACATTTTCAAACAAAAAGACAGAATGCTGAACTTAGCCCCTTCATTCCCGCCTAACCATCAATTGAAAAAACATAAAGAAATCAATTGAAGTCAGTGTTGCAAAAATCGCAAATCGGCACCTAGGTACTAGGCGCTTCCTAGGCGGCCAGGGCCGGGGCGCCAGGCTTAGGCGGTCTAGACCCCCTAGACTATCTCAGGCACCTAGAAGGCCCCTAACAATTTTTTCAATGAATCGGCACTAGGTACTAGGTGCTCGACCTCCTAGGTGACCTAGGGACGCTTGCCTAGGCAGTCTACGCCCCCTAAGCTATCTCAGACACCTAGAGGGCGTCTAGCGATTTTTTCAACATTGATTGAAGTAAAATAAAAGAGAAATGAGGAGTGGAATAATAAGAGTGTTGATTTTGGAGGTGGTAGGGATGACGTACGCGCAGAGGTGTTGGTGGATCTTGTTGATGGGGCCGAAACCCTGGATAGCGGCGGTGGCGGTTTCCAGGAGGGAGGTGCCGGTATGGGTTGCCTCGCCGGGAACGTCCGGGTGCGTCGACACGTTCTTGCCTTCCATTATATTATATTTTTCTTTAAAACTAAACTGTACTGTATAGATATGTGTGTATATATGAAGAGTTGAGGTGGAGTGATATATAATGAGCATGATTTCCTCCCCGCCACTTTACAGCGGCGGAGAGGGAGCATGCAAGCGGACGCGTGGGTGAACACGTGGCGGAGGGGGCTCGCAACTTGCGACGTGTGGAAGTCATACAAATTGCTTTCAGCGTCACGCCTTTGCTTTGCATAATTTCATTAGGGAAAATTGTAAAAAATACCCCTCTATAATATGTCAATTATTAATATCACCCCCAAATTATTAGTGGTGTAAATGTTGCCCTTCAATTATCAAAACGGTGCACATGTAGCCCCTCCCGTAACGGACACGTGGTTCCCCATTAGTGTACGACACCGTTAAGTCGGAGTAAATATGTAATTTAGTTGTTTTTTCCCTCCCTCGATTCGAAGTACCAGCGATGGACAGCGGTGGGGAACCACAAGTCAATTACGGGAGGGGCTATATGTGCACCATTTTGATAATTGAGGGGCAACATTTACATTACTCATAATTCAGGAGTGACATTGACAATTAACATATTATAAAGGGGCATGTTTTACAATTTTCCCATTTCATTATTACCAGGACGGTTTAGCCCATGGATCTGTTGTATCGGATCCTTTTTGACCCAAGAAGAAATTAATTGATAGTTATGTCATGGACTCGGATTCACCTTACAAACTGAACTCAGTTAAAATACATAATTTATATACTGAATGTTTATTTAAATTTTTTGAACATTTAGTATGTAAACTAGGAACATTTAGTATATAAATTTGTGAACATTCAATATGTAAATTGTAAACATTCAGTATATAAATTGTGTATTTTTTTAATCCGATTTCATAGAATAATTTGTCGAAATGAATCGTAAATTATTATGTGGATCATGGTCCACAAAATATTGTGTAGACCATAACAAATAATATACTTCCAGTACTTAAATAATGTATTTTCCCTTAATAGAATACACATTTTTAATATATTAAAAGTACATTATTTGTATACTGAAAGTATATTATTATCGGAAATGTAACCGGAGTTAGCCAGAATATTAACCGGAACCCTAGTGACCTGATTTTTGAACTTCATTGTATTAAAATACAATATTAATAGTTTAATTGGTACTTTAAAAAATGTAGAGACTTAATTGATTTTTAGGTAAAGTTTAACCGTTTATTTAATTTTTTTTTTTCCTTTTAAAAATGGAAGTGTAGTGTTTATTATAGTTTTTTTTTTTTTTTTTTCGCAAATGTATTACTCTTTTCGTGATGAGGCTCATGCCCAAAAACAAATTGGAGGCCCAATAGAGGTTGTAGAGGACTTAATTAGCAATGCTTAAGTTAAGATAAGAAGATCTAATAAGCCTTCAACTTGCTACTTGCAGATTCAATCTAATTGGGCTTTAAATCCTTTAAGTGTGGACCAAGAGTTATGAGACTTTAATTCTAAATTTGATGCCTAATAAGTGAATTCAAGAGCATTAATCATATTCAATAATGTGCAAAGGAACCTAGGAGGCCAAACTCCGCAAATTATATCGTGCACCACGGTGCATAATCTATTATGCACCGCGCATCAAAACGACATCGTTTTATTTAATGAAAAGAAACGGAATTCATTTTGCGCCGTTCTGCAAAAAATAACTATATTTTTCAGTTTTATTTTGAATACATTGCACTTTCAGTTCAACACAACTACAGTTTCATTTCGATATAACTATAGTTCATTCAATATTTATACACCCAAATATGTGAAAATGTTATTTAATTTTATTTTATATACACTATAATTTCATTAAAACACAACTACATGATCATTTCGCTATAATTACAGCTTCATTGTACAATATACACTCAAATATGTGAAATGTTATTCATTTTCATTTTACCACAACCACATACTGCAGTTTCATTTCACCACAACTACAGTATTATTTTGATATAACTGTAGTTTCATTTGATAATATAAAAATAATACTTGAGGCAGTGTCGGTTTAGATACACTGTAGTGTCACTCCGTTAACACTAACAGCGCGCCGTTTCTTTACTTAAAGAAACAGCGTCGTTTTGATGCGCGGTGCATAATCGATTATGCACCGCGGTCCACAACGACTGGCCAAACTCATTATGCAAACATTATTATATGGACCATCGTTCATACAACTGTGTGGACCATAAATAAAAAATAAATTTTTTGAATATTAAAAGTATATTTATTTATGGAGCAAATACCAATTTTAGTCCTACGAGTATTAGCAAAATGACAATTTTAGTCCACATGTTTAATTCCTACCAATTCTCATCCACGACTATTGTTTTAGTACCAATTTTCATCCACGACTATTTTTTTAGCACCAAAATTCATCACGTTGGTAACCCTTCCGTTTAAGACATGCCGAAATCTAAAAATTTTAAGGGTATTTTCGTCCTTTTCAATTTAAGATCCCAATTTGAGCATGAATAAAGGGATTTAAGCCTTAAGATTGATCTCAATTCCTAGTTCTTTTCCTCATCCTACCTTAATTTGAAGAGGAGAATTGCAAATTGGGATCGATCTTAGGGCTTAAATATCTTTATTCATATTCAAATTGGGATCTTAATTTGAAAAATACCAAGATACCCTTAATAATTTCATATTTCGGCATGTCTTAAACGAATGGGTGAGTGGCGTGATGAATTTTGGTACTAAAATAATAGTCTTGGATGAAAATTGGCACTAAAATAATAGTCGTGGATGAAAATTGGTAGAAATCAAACATGTGGACCAAAACTGTCATTTTATTAGTACTCGTGAGACTAAAATTGGTATTTGCTCATTTATTTATGTATATAAAGTACATTATTTGAAAGTATATTATTTGAATATTGAAAATACATTATTTTATATACTATTAAATAATATGCATTCAGGATAAAAATAATATACTTTTAATATATTAAAAATGTATTTTTATTCATGATCCACACAACATGGCATGGAGTTCTATTTTTGCATGTCTAGGGTCCAACGAATCTTAAGGTCATGCTATTAAGGCTTGCCTTATTGTTGAGGAGATAAATTTAAATTTTATTTGATACTTCTAGAAGGTCAAGGTAATTTGAAATGCAAAAGATAATCAAGTGACTTAATGCTTCTTCTTTTCTAATCCATTTAGGAGTGTTTGGTTAGCATGAATTGCATTGAAATGATCCTATGATGGTTGAAGGGGGGTCAAAAAACTTGCAGTTGGCGGGAGCTGGTGGTGTCCAGTCCCGCCCGTCACAATGAGTACACTCTGCTGGAACTGTCGTGGACTCGGCGATTCACGAACAGTTCAAGAAATAGTGACCTTAGAGGCTAAGGTCAAGCCGACTTTTATTTTTTTATCTGAAACGAAAGTTCGTCGTGATCACGCGGAACGTTTGAAACTAAAGTTAAATTTCGAGGGTCTGTTCTATGTAGATGGTGGTGGTCTGGGTGGTGGTTTGGCTCTATTATGGCGAGATAAAAATATTGCCTCTCTTATTAGCTACTCTAAAAATCATATTGACATTCAGGTACAACTTCCTGGAAGCAGCCCCTGGAGGTTAACATGTTTTTATGGGTTCCCTGAGAGGAATCGCCATCAACAATCGTGGGATCTAATGCGTTCTCTCCATCCTAAATCAAGCTTGCCTTGGCTCGTAGCGGGTGATTTCAATGATATAGCATGTCAAAGCGAGAAACGAGGGTTACATCCCCATCCTTCGGCTTTAATAGACGGCTTCAACCTTATGCTTGAAGATTGTGGCCTTTTTGATTTAGGCATGTCAGGACGAAAGTATACCTAGGAGCGAGGACCGGGTACTACGAGTTCGGTTGAAGAGCGATTGGACAAGGCCGTAGCGGGAGTAGATTGGTGTGCCATGTATCCGCATGCGGTGGTTCGGAATAATGCAGTGTTTACGTCGGACCATTCTGCGATTTTTATTGAAGTTGACGGTCCGAAGGTAATCAAGCAAAGGAGGCAGTTTATGTTTGAAAATGCCTGGTTGGAAGACGTTGGTTGCAAGGAAGTGGTTATGGACTCTTGGATGGCGACAGAAGGTAATGTTATGCCAAGCAGATTAGACCATTGTGGAGAAACTCTAAAACGTTGGGGTGGAAATTTTGTGCAGTGTACCCAGAAGGAAATGGCAAGATTGCAAGGTTGTCTGGACGCCTTGCGAGATAAGAGATGTAAATTCGTTGAGGTTGTATCGTGATCTAGATGGTAAATTACGAGGCCTGCATGCTCAGTTAAATATCTATTGGCGCCAACGGTCTAAACAGCACTGGTTATTAAAAGGAGACAGGAACACGAAGTTTTTTCATCTTTATGCGACTGCCCGGAAACGGAAAAATCGTATACTACGGCTTCGTGACGAATATGAACAATGGGTTGATGGTGAACGACTGCTTGGGTTGGCTAGAAGATACTTTTCTAATATTTTCACCACAAAGGGTGTGAGTATGCATGAAGCCATTGCCGATCTTATTCCTATCGTTTCCGATGCCGATAACAATCACTTGATGCAACCTTTTACCATTGAAGAAGTCAAGTGTGCCTTATTCAGTATGGCCCCAGATAAATCTCCTGGTCCCGATGGTTTTAGTCCCGCCTTCTTTCAGCATTTTTGGAAGGAGATTGGAACAGATGTGGCACAGTTTGTAATCAATTGTACGAAAGAGGAGTTCCCACCTGGAATGAATGATGCCATTATCACATTGGTGCCTAAGAAGACTGCCCCAGAAACTATGAGTGATTTGAGGCCAATAGCATTGTGTAATGTCACCTATAAGATTCTATCTAAGATGCTAGCAAACCGCATGAAGGAGGTATTGGACAAGGTTATTGGTGGGTCACAAAGTGCTTTTTTGCCCGGACGATTAATCACGGATAATGTGCTAGTAGCCTCGGAAGTACTGCATTATCTCAATCGTAAGCGTGTTGGATTAGAAGGTTGGTGTGCGTTGAAATTAGACATGGCTAAGGATTACGATAAGATGGAATGGGCCT